TCCATTCGCGAATCGTGAACGCAGTTATGCGTTCGTAACAAACAGTGCTGGCTACGACTTGGACGACCCAACAATCCGGAGACACCCAAACGGAGGAATCTGGCGACCACCACCTGGCGGTCTTGGGTGCCCTGGCTGTGTGGACAACAACTACAAGCAATCACCAAAGCACAGTAGGGATCCGAAGATGTGTCGGTGGTATGATGTTGAACCGTATTACTGGGACTGTCCAAGCTGTAAGAAGGAATATCAGAAGAGCAATCCTCACCACACCACGATATCTGGCCAATGCAGATTCGCCGAAAAATGGAAGCTGCCAGATAACTTTGGCCAGCCGCGCCCGGCGGGGCAAGCCGCTCCTGCGGCGCCAGCCGCGGAAGCGGCTCCAGCCGCAGAAGCGGCGCCAGCCGCAAAAGCGGCGCCGGCCGCGAGAGCGCGCATACGCGCGCCTAGGCCGCCACGGCCTGTGAGGGCGATCCAACCGCAGGCGCCAGCAGCCATGACATCACCAGAGCCGAAGGGGCTAATGGTGGCAACACTGGCGCTGGCAGCTCTGACGATCACCGTAGACTGCCACAAGTTGCAGCAAGGCGCGGACGCATGGAGGGAGGAGATCCTCCACCACCGCCGCAGACTCAAGCAGAGCCGAGGCCAAGGCCAAGGCTCCCTGATTGGACTCGCTTCGACGTTCAGCTCAGCCTCCAAAACCTGCGCAGCTTCGACCCAGCTGTAGTGCAGCGAGAACTCCGCAAACTCCACCTGAGATGGTTTCATGCCAAGGAGCCAAAAATGCGGATGATTCTAACTAAGGTTGGTCTGGGTGAAACCCGTCTGAGTCTGATCAAAGGCATTTGCGACTCGTGTAGAGAATGTCGAGCCTGGGACAAACCAGGCAACACGGTGATGCCCTCTGTGTCACTGCCAGGACGTTTCAACGAGGAAGTCGAATGTGATCTTTTCTTTTACAAACAGGAACATATTGTTTTTTCACATCATCGACCGTTGTATTCGCTGGGCAGCTGGCACAGAGATTCCTGATAAAGCCATGCATACTGTTCTCGATGCCTATCATACGACTTGGATGCAGCATGGCCCTGCTAAAATCTTATACTCCGATGGGGAAGGAGCACTGAATAATGATACAGCAAAGGCCATCCTTAAGGCTAAGGGAACAGAGCTTCGTATTCGAGCGCGTGGCAACACGCTACAACTATCGAAGCTAGGAACGGCATCCTGCGACACCTCCTACACGTGATGGGAGAAGAATTGAATAGATTAAATATCCCTCTCAATTTCACTCGTCTCTTACATGAAGCCTTGTTTGCCAGCAACGCATTTACCTTCTACAATGAAGTGTCTCCGTACAATGCGCTGTATGGCAGACAACCAGCTATGCTTCCCGATTTCCCTGTCATGGATCATGATCAGTCCGCTGAATCATCAGATCACTCAAGGGAGGAAACAATCAGGAGGGTTAGTCTGGAGGCAATCACGCAGGCCACTGCGGTTGCCAAGAAGAACAGGGCTCTCCGTACGAAGACTACTGCTACGGGTGAATTTCACTACAAAGAGGGAGATCTCGTGGACTATCATCGCCCGACCACCACGAAAGACGACTGGGGTGGATGGAGTGGTCCATACCCGGTCATCCGCAACGAACCTGACCGAGGCCAGGTCATCGTGAAGGTCGGCAATCGCGAAGTACGAGTACAGTATCCTGACACACGGCACACACTGTACATCGAAGCACTTATGGTCCGCGAGATAGGATCGGACAATACGGCCCTTCGGACAGTATTGGCCTTTATTGCCGGTCTGCCAGCGGGGAAACCCGCCATGACTTTCGGATATCTACCAGCGAAACAGGGTCGGCTGCAGATGACTGCTGCGAGCCGACTTTCGCCTAAGGTGCACTTGGCTCTTCAGTACCTCATACGCAACTACTTTCGTATTGAAAACGTTGTTGCTGTACGACTCGCCAAGAGCCTGACGAAGTTGCCTGCTGCACCCTATGCAGACAGCTGTACACTAGTGCACTATGATAATGATGTGACCCCTGGTTTCATTACTATGAAGCTGATGGCACTGCCTTGAACATCTATGACATCACAGGATCTACACACTCACGCATCATCCAGTGTCTTAAATCCAGGAAGCCGTCTGCTGGGTTTGACCAAGACCTCACTAAGTTTGAGGAACTCGCTGATGGTCCACCACCAAGCGAATCACCTCCAGCAGCTGCTCCTGAGGAGCCTCCTACGGATAACGATGGTCGGCTCCCGACCATCATAGAGGAAACAGAGGAAGATCTGGATGCTTTTGTCTTGAAGTCGTGGTATGCTGAACTGATGGATGACAGAACACTCCTTGAAGCTGACACAGAGGAAGTCATGCATACAGTTCCCACATACATGACAGACACACAGTGTGTGTTAGTCTCTACGACCTGTGAAGATGTGCAAGGCCACTTGCCGGAGCGGGGTCACCCGCCAGGATACGACATGGACACTTCATACTACGTTCCCTTATGCTCCACGGATCCGGACAGTAAATATGATTTGGACTCCGATGAGCACGGGAAGTACATCGAGCTCTGCTTCACAGCAGACATGTCCAAAGTCGTCCTGTCCGAGCAGCAACACCGATTGTTGGATGACAGCAGCGTCACAACTATGCGAGTATACGTTAGTGCTGCTTCCAAACGTGCCGTGGTCGTCAAGGAAGACGATCTACTCACGAAGGCCGACATCCAAGCAAACCCGGTCAAAGTCTCCAAAGCCCTCTACACAGAATTGAAGACTTGGCTTGACAACAAATGCTTCCAGATGACTGACTTGAGCAAAGCGTCTAACATCATGACGTCACGCTATGTATACAAATGGAAGTTTGTCAAGAACGAAAAGGGCGAAATGGAAAGGACGATCAGGTTACGCTTGGTACTCCGTGGCTTCATGGACCTTGAAGCCTTTGATGTCGAAACCTTCTCTGGCACGGCAAGGAGGTCAAGCCAGAGACTGCTCGCAAGTTCTGCTGCATGCAACAAAGCTTGGATCATCGCTTCCCTGGACATCAACATGGCTTTCCTGAAGGGACTGACCTATGGCGAGCTCGCCGCGGCAACGGGCGAGAAAGAACGTGTGGTGTGTTTCACACTACCACCTGGATCAGCAGCTGTCCTTCGCACACTGCCAGGCTTTGAGTCATATGACGAATCAAAGCATTGTCTCCGGTGTCTGAAACCGGGGACGGGCACGAAGGATGCTCCCAGGGCATTCTCGCTGAAGCTCAGGTCCATCACTAGGAGCTTTGGGCTACAGCCTACTTCATACGACGAAGAGTTCGAGATGAGCTCAAACCTCTTGACAGCCAAGCACGTTGATGACATCAATATGACTGGGAAGGAAGAGGCTATTGACAAGTATGTCAAGTGTGTTGAAGATACGTTTGGGAAGTGCAAACTGAACAAGCACACATACACAAACTGTGCTGTTCGGTACAACAAGACCGATGATGGGAGCGTCACTCTCGATCAGGACGAATACATCAAACAGCTTCGTCCTATCACACATCCAGAACTCACAGGAGCTGATCCTGAAGAGCAAGGCGACGAAGACGATTTCTGATATGTTCGTCAGTCTTCGTGGCGCTCTAGCCTATGCGTTGATCACGCAGGTATGGCTAATGGTCTATGTTGTCTCACTACAACGTATCCAGGAACCGACAAACATCCAGGTACGACGACTAAACGCGGTTACCAGAAAACTACAGGCAGGTCCGAAGAAGATCGTGTATCAAGCTATGACTCCAACAGGAGAAGTCGACCTGCATAGCGATTCTGGCTATCGTCGTCTCAACGGAGATGAAGACGACGAAGTCAAAGGCTATGGTATCCGCGGGGCTAACCTGCTGAGGCGTGGCCACACGCAAGCGGGGAAACCCGTCGTGCACCTGGTGGACGCATACTGCAAGTCTCATCGACTGCAGGTGCGTTCGAGCTACTCTGCGGAAACACTGGCAGCAGCCCACAACTTGGAAGACTGCTACCCGACCATTGTAACGCTCCACGAGCTACACTCGGGACCATTGACCCCCACACAGTTGAAGAATATATTGGAAATGGGTGGTCTATGTATCAAAGTCACTCTGACTATTGATGCCGAGTCTGTCTTCAAGTCTTTGTCTAGCAAAGATCTGAAGAAGCCCACAGAATGTACTCTGCTTGGGCACATCAGCTGGATCCGCCAGATGATGGAACGCGGAATCGTGGAAAGCGTCCAATGGTGTGACACGCGGGATATGACTGCCGATGGTCATACCAAAGGTAGTATTGACCGCGCGTTGCTCCTACAAGTAATGGCCGGCCAGCAATCCTTCAAGCACGAGCTGAAGAAACATACACCGTATAGGGCGGGCAGGTCGTCTCAGGACGGCCCTGCCTCCCGAGCCAGCGGGGAAACCCGCGGGCAGGTGCGCTTTAGTAGCGAGGAAACTCGCCGGTAGCGAGGCTACTCGCGCGCCCTTTCCTTGTAGGCAGCCGCTGCTGCTTAGCACTGTTTTTCCGCATAATGTAGAAATGCGGTACCTGCTCGTCTCCTCCCCCTCCGACTTTAAACGGAGAAGGTTAAAGGCGAGGTATAAATCGAGCATGTACCGCTGCCGTGCCTGGCTCAAGCCGGGCCCGGCCTAATATGTGACTGTGCCTCACCGAGGCGCACTACTTGCATCAGAGATCGGAAAATCCCTTTTCCATTGACGATGCCCATCCTATCCTTTACTCCAGATCCCATGCTTCGTCTTGCTCTCTTGCTCATGCGATATGAGCCAAAGCCTGGGATATGGGAGCGCCTAAGGCGGACTACATACCTAAGCTTGCCAGCCTGTTTTCGACTGGAGGACCAGGAGAAGGAGGCAGGGGGTATGAGCGAGGAGACACAGTCGGACAACGAGGAGACAAAGTCGGAGCAACCCCCAACCCCCAGAGTCTGGGGGCGCCCCAGAGTCTGAACAGCACTTTTTTCAGATACTGTCTCCCTCCGCCCGTGCGCGCCCTCGGACATGGAGAGGCCGCTGGTTCATGCAGGCCTGGGGCGGCTGGCCCGCTCGCAGAAGGGCGTAATGGACCTCCTGGCGGCGCAGGAGGCGCTGCCCAAGCCCCTGGGCGCCCGCGCAGCCGTGCTGGTCTTCCTTCCCGAGTCGGAAGGAGGAGTTCGACCGATAGTGAACAGCCCACTGCCCATGCGCATCTGGGGCAGCCCGAGGCAGCCCATCGGCGCGCTGTGGGAGGCGGAGCACGACCACCGCTTCTTTAAGGGCAAGGTGGACCGCGAGTACGAGAAGGCAGGCTGGCTGCACAACGCCTGTGCCGCTCTTGCGCGTGTGAGGGGGTGTGCCTCCGCCAGCCTCTTCCTGGACATCACCAAGCTCTACGCGAGCCCACGGCACGACTTCCTGCGGCAGTGCGGAGTCGAGCATGGCTTCGACTTGCGGGTACTTCGAGGTCTGCACGTGCTCTACCCGAGGCCGCGTATCCTCCGCTTCGCTGGCATGGCCACCAAGTCGTTCGCCTCCCTGCAGGGGGCGCTGGGCTGGAAGTGGGTCGCCTCCTCCGTGTTCCGCCTCTGCCCCCTCAGTGCTGCCAAGGCCCCCGCCCGCGCCTTGGGGCCCTTTGGGGCGCGGCAGCCTGGCGGGCACTGGGAAACGCAGGGCTGGACTTTCTGTAAGACCTTGCAGGCCAGGAACCTCAGCGCGGGCGCCGCCTCGCGGGGCGAAGAGTGCATGAGAGCCGAGTACGAGCTCCTGGAGCCGTGGGCGGAGCGCACGGGCCGCCTCCGTGCCGCGGGAGTGGAGCTGGACCCGATCCACAAGGCTGGGCCTGCGGCCAGCGCGGCGTGGGGTCGCTCGGGGCGCCTGGGAACCGCTGGGAGCGCCGCCGTCTGGCGCATTGCGGCCGCCGCCCGTGAGTGAGTGAAAGTCGGCATCGGTGAGGCTCGCGCCTGTTGCTCCCTGTGGTGAGTAGGCCCGCGCTGCTCTCGGTGCCCCCTGGGGCTCGGCGTCTCTCGGGAACTCTGTCCCGCCTGGCCCTGCCCGTAATTAGTCGTGCACGCCCCGACGCCTTCAAGGCCCCGCCTTTAAACTTTAAACTTTAAACACAGAACACAGAGCAGACAGGAACACGGCAGAACACACGGGAGCATGGCAGAACATACAGGAGCACGGCAGAATACACAGGAGCACGAGGAGCACGGCGGAGAGCAGGCGCACGGCAAAACACACAAAGCACATAGGAACACGGCACAACAAGCAGGAGCGCGGCAGAACACACAGGAGCACGGCAGCACACGTAGGAGCATGGCAGGACACACAGGAGCACGGCAGAACAGGATCACGAGGAGCACGGCCGAACCCACAGAGTACATAGGAGCACGGCAGAACACACAGCTGCATGGCAGAACACACAGGAGCGCGGCAGATCAAACAAAACGCATAGGAGCACGGCAGAACAACCAGCAGCACGGCAGAACACACAGGAGCGCTGCAGAACACGCTGAAGCACATCCGTAGCCATTTTGGCTCAAGGTCCGTAGCCATTTTGGCTCGCGCCTTTTTGCTGCACTGCCCGTTCGGTCGTCTGCCGCGGCGGTGCGAGCATCGGGCTGCGGTCGGGCGGCGCCGAGGAGCTGGCAGGCGCTGCCGAGCTCTTGAAGGCCGCCGCCCACGGAGCTGCGCGCGGAGCAGCGGCAGGCGGCGGCCCCAGGCAGGTAGTCGCGGCAGCAGTGGCCGCAGCTGTGCGCACGGTTTGGGCGCTGCTGGACGGCGGCGACGCGGCGCGCGCCGAGGAGGGCCTCGAGCTCGCCATGCGCCAGGCCGCCATGGAGCCGGCTATGCGCCAGCAGATGCGGGGCGCGCGGCCTTGCGGCAGGGACCGCGCCTTGCGCAACGTCGGCGCGCACGTCGACTTCGGCAAGGGCGTGGAGGTCCTGCAGAAGGCCCTCTCTCGACCGCAGGGCGCGCAGCGCGGCGGCCGACGCGCGGCCCGCGCGGCGGACCCGCCCCCGGCGGCAGGCGAGGCAGCTGCGAGCCCGGCGCAGGCCGCGCCCGACCTCGGGCCGCCTCGGGCCGTGGCCAAATCGGGGGCGCCTGTTGCGCGGGCCCCTGCGGCCGTCGGAGCGGCCGGCGCCGAGGCGGAGGCAGGCGGCAGGCCCCGCGGCCACCGCCGTCGGCGCCGCCGCGCCGAGGCTGCACCGGTGGGCTCCTGGCCGTAGGAGGGCGACGGCAGCGGCTGCAGCCTCAGCACGGTCGGCAGCGACCAGGAGCTGGAGGACGGGCTGAAGGCGAGGCGCCGCGGCCAAGTGGCCACTGCGGAGCCGCCCGCCCAGCCGCACATTGGTGGCATGGCCCCAGGCGCGTGGCTTCACGGCGACGCTGGGGCCGAGGCTCAGGCGCGGGCGTTCGGGCATGGCTTGTCTGCGGGCTGGAAGCTCGCGGAGACCGCGCAGCCCGAGGAGGCTCCTGAGCGCGGCGGGGGCGACTGGTTCGAGTCGGAGGTGGCCCCGAGCGGCTCCGCAGTGGCTTGCGCCGAGCCTGTTGCGCGCCAGCGGGCGGCGGAGCTGGCTGCCACCCCGCTCTTCCCGACGCGCAGGGCCGAGCAGCGCAGCCGCGAGCCGTCCGAGCGCGACGAGGGCGAGCTGCGCGACGTGGACGGGCACGACGACGCCGAGCAGAGGCGGCAGCGCAGCGTGAACTGGGACGACGGCGGGTCGGAGGGATCCGCGCAGAGCGTGAAGATCGGGCGTCAGGCCTTGTCCACGGAACGCGTGGTCGCCTGCGTCCTGGCCACGCAGCTTCGGTTCATCGGGAGCACAGTGTCCAGCTCCTCGGCCTTCCTTTCTCTCGGCGGCTGCGTGAAGAACGCCGCTCGGGTCGTGGAGATGCTCGAGAAGAGGTTCGGTGTCTCGCTTCCTAGCTCGGCCGAGTCCGACTTGCTACATCGCCGACCAAGTGCAGCGCAGGGTCGACTCGAGCACGCGGTAAGGTGCGGCTGCCTCGTGTGTCTCCCTGCTGTTTCGGACATCGCTTCCCCTTCTGAGTGAGTGGCCCCCTGTATTTGGGTGCGTTCTCTGACGCATCACGATATTGTTGAGGGCGCACTCTCTCTGTCATGTGAGTGGCTTCCTGCATCTGTTTGTGTACTTCGTTACATTTCTTTGCAGTCGATTGCGCACTCTCAGTGAAGTGTTCCGAGCCTGGAGCCTTCGTTGCCCAGGCTTGAAGAGGCCTGGAGGTGGCTGGAGTGGCGGCCCGTGGGACCCTCGGGCCCTGCCCCACCTCGGCCTTTCGGGGAGGGCTGGCCCACTGCGGCCCCCTCGGTTTTTGGAGGGTGGCCCAGAGCGGCCCCCTCGTGCGTTCGCTGACTTGCCTTTACGGCCCCTCCAACCAACCAACCAACACGCAGAAGCACGGCAGAACACATAGGAGCACGGCAGAGCAGGACCATGGCAGAACACACGGGAGCACGGCAGAACACACAGGAGCGCGGCAGAACACGCAGGAGCACGGCAGAACACACATAACATCCAGTCACACAGCCGCACCCACAGGCACACGCTTACAGGCACACGCACATAGGCACACGCACACGCACACACAGACACATACACACACGCACGCACATTCACAGACAGAGAGGCAACATACTTTCACGGAGACCGCAGGAGCACGGCAGGGCAGCACGGCATAACACAGCACGGATACGCATGCACATACTCCACGCACGCACGCGCACGCGCAAACGCACGCACGCCACGATAGACTTGCGCAGCGCATATTAAGAACGTAGGATATCCCATAAGCCCAAGACACCAAAGGACGTTTCCCGTTCTTCTCCGGCCAGGTTCCTGAGATTCCTGAACCGCGTGCATTTGCATGACCCAGGGGGCATAGAGCAGAGCAGATCATGGCAGCTGGTATCATAGTACGGGGCGCTTCACAGCACAGCATCCGGATGACTTCAGCAACGCAGGGCAGAGAAAAGCAGAGGCAAGGCATTGCCAGAGCAGAGCATGACCAGGGTATCATAGCACAGCCTGGTAGATCGCCTAGCATGACACCGTACTCGCATAACATGTTGGCGTGACCCACCCGAACGTATGTTGCTTTGTTTTGCGCGTATCTCTATAGAGTGCCCAGCAATGCCACGCAATGCTGTGATGCGTTGCAGACGCGTGTGTTGCCACATGCCGGTATGGTTTGACGTGATGCATCAGCAGCTTTACAGCATGACGTCGCTGCGATGTTACGCCATGGTAGACGTTGAGATGGTGAGACATCCAACGTTGTATAATACGACACCGCGCCCGAATATAACATTGTACAGCATGCAAACGGCGTGTCATGCCGATGCGAATGCATCGGTTACAGCACTGCTGCTCGATGATACGCTCGGCAGTAGTTTGAAATTCGATGCGTTGCTATGAATGCACTACGTTGTACTGTTATAAGTTCCAGACTATGGAATATGGAATTACAACGGGATGCTCCTCATAGGGGGTGCATCGGTTCCATTCATGGTTTGAACGGGGTTCGGCAGAGGTTGAGCTCCCACATCGTCTCGACATCGCATTTGGCAAACCTCAGGACGACCCAAAATGGCCACAGGAGAGCGCCAGTTGGCATCCAGGAAGCCCCCAAGACAGCCAAAGAAAGTCGCAAGGCTTCCCCAAAACGCTTCAGGAGGGCGCCAGACGGCCCCAGAGAGCTCCCATTGACTCCAGACTGGGTCCTAGGGAGCTCCAAAAACGCACCGAGAGACCTCCTAGAAAGACCCAAGAAACAAAGAGGGCCCCGAAGGATCCCAAGAAAGCTCCACGTCCTCCTCCTGTTCCTTGCTCTCCTCGTCCTCCTCTCTATTCATTTCCCAACCATCCTGTGGTGTTGGGTCCTCGTTTTGAAGAGACGTCGCCCCCCGTTCTCCTCTCCTCTCCTCTCCTCTCCTCCTCCCCCTCTTCCTTCCTCCCTCCTCCATTTCGGCACACCCCTCACACGTTTCGTGGCCCCATAGGGAGCTCCGCCGAAGGCCCCAGTGTTGCCGCCCGCATGCGTCACGCACACCCAATTCGGCACACCCCTCACACGTTTCGTGGCCCCATAGGAGCTCCGCCGAAGGCCCCAGTGCTGCCGCCCGCATGCGTCCCGCACACCCATTTCGGCACACCCCTCACGCGCTTCGTGGCCCCATAGGGAGCTCCGCCGAAGGTCCCAGTGGGTGTGCCCGCATGCGTCCCGCACGCCCATTTCGGCATACTCTTCACAAGTTTCGTGGCCCCATAGGGAGCTCCACCGAAGGCCCCAGTGGGTGTGCCCGCATGCGTCCCGCACACTCATTTCGGCACACCTTCACGCGTTTGGTGACCCCTCACACGTTTCGTGGTCCCATATGGAGCTCCACCGAAGGCCGCCGTGGGTGTGCCCGCATGCGTCCCGCACACCCACTTCAGTACACCCCTCGCACGTTTCGTGGCCCCGTAGGGGGCTCCGCCGAAGGTCCCAGTGCTGCCGCCCGCATGCGTCCCGCACACCCATGTCGGCATACCCTTCACACGTTTTGTGGTCCCTTAGGGAGCTCCGCCGAAGGCCCCCGTGGGTGTGCCCGCATGAGTCCCGCACACTCATTTCGGCACACCTTCACGCGTTTGGTGGCCCCATAGGGAGCTCCGCCGAAGGCCCCAGTGGGTGTGCCCGCATGCGTCCCGCACGCCTATTTCGGCATACTCTTCACAAGTTTCGTGGCCCCATAGGGAGCTCCACCGAAGGCCCCAGTGGGTGTGCCCGCATGCGTCCCGCACACTCATTTCGGCACACCCCTCGCACGTTTCGTGGCCCCGTAGGGGGCTCCACCGAAGGTCCCAGCGGGTGTGCCCGCATGCGTCCCGCACACCCATTTCGGCACACCCCTCACACGCTTCGTGGCCCCATAGGGAGCTCCGCCGAAGGTCCCAGTGGGTGTGCCCGCATGCGTCCCGCACACCCATTTCGGCACACCCCTCACACGCTTCGTGGCCCCATAGGGAGCGCCACCGAAGAAGATATTCACAATTGCGGTACTCACAATTGCATATGGTTGGGTCCTTCGCCAGGATAATTGTTTTTCCTGTTTTCCTCGCTGCCCCCCTCGTCATCTACGCTGTCCTCTCCCTTGTTATTATCCTAGTAGCTCTCTTCGGCCCCATCCACTTCGTCTCCAGACTCCGTAGCCATTTTGGTTCAAGGTGCCCAGCAAGCCAGTGGAGCTTCTGGTTGCTACACCTTCTTGCGCTCCTGCGCAGCCGGCAGAGAAGGGCCATGGCGGACCGCAAGGCGGTCATCAAGAATGCCGACATGGCCGAGGACATGCAGCAGGACGCCATCGATTGCGCGACGCAGGCTCTAGAGAAGTACAACATCGAGAAGGACATCGCCGCGTTCATCAAGAAAGAATTCGACAAGAAGTACAACCCGACCTGGCACGCGATCGTGGGGCGCAACTTCGGCTCATACGTAACGCACGAGACCAAGCACTTCATTTATCGAAGACGCCTACGGCGATGGTCCGGCGGAAGGCAGGTTTGAAGCAAAAGCCCAAATCTGTCAAGACATCAGGAACATGAATGATGTTGGCCTCTTCGGGCATTCCTGGAGGATTTCTTGGAGTCCTCTTGGGCACTTGAGGCCATCTTTGGCCGTCTTTATGCATTTGGGCCGTCTTGCCTTCACTTTTCGGCCATCTTGGGCTCTCTCTGGGCCTTCTTGGCCGTCCTGGAGGCGTCTTGGGACCATCTCGGAGACCATCTTAGGCCATATTGGCCGAGTTGGAGGCGATTTGGCCAACGACTGGTGGATTTTGTGCAGCTCTCCAGGTGGCTGGCGGGTTAGGCCGTGACCCCACGGGGAGTTTTGTGGCAAAGAACCAACACTTGCCAGACGTTTGGCACGCCGTGCACTCCTGTGGCAAGACCACAGGCGGCGGCGGAGTGGGTCAGAGTGCTCTTGGATGCCCTTGGCGGTCCCTTGGGATGCCTCTTGGACGCCTCTGTGGGCTTTCTTGGGATGTCTCTTGAGGGCCTCTTAATGACCTCTTGGGGTCTCTTTGGACCTTTTGGACGCCTCTAGGGCGCCTCTAAGGGCCCAGTGGCGGTCGGGAGGGCCATCTCGGCACAAGAGGGCTCCTGGAGCCAGTTCGGGTCCCCCCATTCCAGGGCCGAAAACCTTGAAATTAGCCAAGGACCCAACCATATGCAGATGTGAATAATGCAGTTGTGAGCATCGTCTTCGGTCTTCGGTCGAGCTCCCAACAGGTCCACGAAACGTGTGAAGAATGTCCCGAACTGGGCGCGGTGAGCGCATGCGAGCGCAGCCACGGGGGCCTTCGGTCGAGCTCCCTATGGGGCCACGAAACGTGTGAGGGGTATACCGAAATTGGTGGAGCGGACGCATGCGAACACAGACATTGGGGCCTTCGGTGGAACTCCCTATGGGACCACGAAACATGCGAGAGATGCACCGGAATGGGCGGGGCAAACGCATGCGAACACCGCCATTGGAGTTTTCGGTGGCGCACCCTATGGGGCAGCGAAACGTTTGAGGGGTGCTTCAAGGGCGGGGCGGACGCATGCGAACACTGGGGCTTTCGGGGAGTGTGAGGGGTGTGCCGAAATGGGTGCGGCGGGCGCATTCGAGTGCAGCCACTGGGCACTCTGTGGAGCTCCCCATGGGGACGCGTAGCGTGCAAGGGGTGCGCCGACATGAATGCTGCGGCCGCATTCGAGCGCAGCCACTAGGGCCATCGGTGGAGCTCCCCATGGGGGCACGAAGCGTACGAAGGGTGTGCCGGAATGGGCGCGGCGGGCGCATGCGAGCGCAGCCATTGAGGCCGTTGGTAGTGCTCCTTATGGGGCCACGAAATATATGAGGGAGTGTGCCGGAAACAGGCGGGGCGACCGCATGCGAGCGCAGCCATTGGGGCCTCCAGTGGAGTTCCTTATGGAGCCACGAAGCGTGTGAGGGGTGTGCCGATTTGGGCGCGGAGGGCGCATGCCAACGCAGCCACTGAGGCCTTCGGTGGGGCTCCCTATGGGGCCACGGAGCGTTTGGGGAGCGTGCCACAATGTGCACGGCGGGCGCATGCGAGCGCAGCCACTGGGACCTTCGGTGTTGTTCCTTTTGGGTCCGCGAAGCGTGTGAGGGGTGTTCCGAAACGTGTGAGGGGTGTGCCGAAATGAGCACGGCGGGCGCACGCGAGCGCAGCCACGGGAACCTTCGTTGGAGGTCGCTGTAGGGCCACAAAACGTGTGAGGGGTGTACCGACATGGGCGCGGCAGGCGCATGCGAGCGCAGTCACTGGGGCCTTCGGTGGAGCCCACCTGTGGGGCAACGAAGCGTGTCAGGTGTATGCCGACATGGTTTCTGCGGGCGCCTGCGAGCGCAGCCACTGGGGCCTGCGGTGGAGCCCCCCATCGGGCCACGAAGCGATGGAGGGGTGTGCCGACACATGTGCGGCAGGCGCATGCGAGCGCAGCCAGTGGGGCCTTCGGTGGAGCTCCCCATGGGGCCGCGACAATGTGAAGGGTGTGCCGAGATGGGTGCGGCGGGCGCATGCGTGCGCAGCCTGTGGGTCCTTCGGTGGAGCCCCCATATGGGGCCGCGAAACGTGTGAGTGCTCCGAAATGGGCACAGCGGGCGCATGCGAGCGCAGCCAGTGTGCCTTTCGGTGGAGCTCCCCATGGGGCCACGAAGCGTGTGAGGGGTGTGCCGACATGGTTGACTGGTGCAGAGGGCAGAGGCAGGGACGGAAGGAGGGAGGGAGAGCGGGAGGGGGGGAGGAGCGGGAACGCGGTGCACTCTCTATTCAAAACGAGAACCCAACACCACACGATGGTTGGGAAATAGCACAATGTATTCACTTCTGGCCTCGGAGAAAATCACACGGAATACCCCCGAAGTCACGCGGAACACCTCGGGAGGTTCCCAAGTTTGGCGTCTGTGCCGCCTAGATCGCATATCGAGCATGGGGCACGGAAGAGCCGAAGCGATTTAGCAACAGTCCACACAGTGCCGAGTGGAAGTCAGGATGCTGACACACGGACCATGTTTGGCTCAGGAGGGGCTATAGCTGTCGAGCCGCTCAAGCGGGGGAGCCTGTCCGCGGCCGTGGTCCGCCGTGGCCAAAAGAGCCCCCTGCCGTTCCCTTCTCTGCGCTCTTGATGGTAGCGCGAGGGGCGCACGGAGAGCTCCCATCGGAGGACGGCCAGTTGAGGCAACGGCGGCTATCCAGCCTGGGCCAAATGCGCTCAAAACCAGTCCTCGGACCGAACATCCTGGCTCGTTCGTCGCGGAGCACCCGGCGACGGCGACGAGGAGGTTGCATGGGGGCCTGACGAGGACGGAAACCGTCAGGGAGGGCCGCCGGTGTCTCGACCGGCCCCCCTCCGATCGAAGAGGCCTGAGGGCACTCCATCCGGCCCCTGCGGCGCGGTGGCGGATTTCTACCTGGGCCAGGTCGCCATCCTACTCTTCAAGTCAGGCTGATCGCCGCCACGCGCACGGTCGCCTCCGGCCCCCCACGCGAGCGCCAGGACCCTTTGGCTTCGGGCAGTGCCAAGGCGGGCTGCCAACTCCTCACCCCTCTTTTTCCTCCTCCTCCTCCTCCTCCTGTTTCTCCTCCTGTTTCTCCTCCTCCTCCTCCTCCTCCTCCTCCTCCTCCTCCTGCTCCTCCTCTTCATCCTCCTCCTCCTCCTCCGTAGCCACTTTGGCTAGTAATGTTGGTTTCCTGGGGGAGCCAAGTGAATAGCGCTGGTCCGCGGTTTGCTTTCAATCTCTTCCTGATCACCTCTACGGCAGCACAGGCTGCCAAGCTGTGTTCTTTTCTGGACACCAACAACAGGCAGCGGGTTGTTGTCGTGGCGTTCGGCTGCGTGCTGCTGCTAGCGATTGCTGAAGTGGCTCCATGCACGCACGTCACGCCCACGTTTCGGACAACATGTTTGCTGGCACCCGCCGCAGCAAGAAACTGTCGTTTCGCATATCAGCCAGCGTTGGTTCCAAATAGATAGTGGGTGATACTGGTGATGATGACGATGTTGATGATGATGATGATGATGATGATGATGATGATGATGATGATGATGATGGTGATGGTGATGGTGATGGTGATGGTGATGGTGATGATGAGGAGGAGGAGGAGGAGGAGGAGGAGGATCCTGTTCTCCACACGCACACACTCCAGTCCATTGTATTGTACCGTACTGGACGGTGCGGCCCAGCAGCTGCGTCAGGGGAGCAGCGCGCCGACCACGCTTCCCTCGCGGGCGTTCCCATAGGAATAGGTATAGACATAGGATAGGCAGAGACATAGGCATAGGCATAGGAGGCATAGCCATAGCCACAGGCATAGGCATTGGCATAGGCAAATTCCTCGGGAGGCATACGCATAGGCATAGCCATATCAATTAGGGGGGCATAGGAATTAGGGGGGCAACGGACCAATTTGTAGGGCTTGGGTTAAAACTCCTACAGGGCAAGCCTATTTGGAGAAAAATACGAGGGCTTCCTCCGCTTGATGGCGTTCACCAAAGCATTTTTCTTGGGGGTGATAACGATGTGCGCTGATCCGATCGTGATGCTGCAAGCACGGATGGCGACAACGAGCAGGACGCAGGTACGACAACCAGAAAGTACAGCAGACCCACGAGTTCCAGAGCAAACCTCCAGACTTTTACCGAATAAACCATCAGACTTCTATCGAGCAAGCCCCGGGGCTTCTACCGAACCAACCTCCGCACTTTTACCGGACAAATTGTTGGAGTTCTACTGAACAAACCTCCGGACTTCTACCGAAGAGGTTCCTGATCCTCTCGGGGCCGCTCGGGGGGGCCTCCTGGGGCCTGGGGGGCCGCCTGAGGAAGCCTCCTGGGGCTGCTTGGGGGCCGCCCGCGGGCCGCCTAAGGAAGCCTCCGAAAGCCGCTTGGGAAGGCGTTTTGGGGCCGCCTGTGGAAAAAGGAGACACCATGAGGCCGTCTGGGGAGGCCTCCTGGGGCGCTCTGGAGGGACAACCTGGGGCCGCGAAGTTCGCCGCCCCTGCCATGGACACTGCCGTTGCCTCCGTGGCCCCCATCGACCTCGCTTTCAAGCAGCTCAGCGACGCGCTTTCCAACGCACCAGCTTATGCGGCAGCCACCGCCTCTGCTAGCACAGAAGCCGATGGATGAGTTGGGCTACAAGTTAGACGAGCACGTTGGCAATCTCCAGAATCATGCCGACGTTCTCTTCGACCTTCAGTGTCAGATGCAAGAGATCAAGAGGGAGCTGGCTCTGCCCCAGCGTGCGCCTCCTCCCCAGAAGCCCAACGACCGCTCCTTGAAGCGCGGCGTCGACACCACGATCCTCCAATTCGCAGCGTCCTCAAAAGCGCGGACCTCGAGGGCGCGTTCAAGGCGGCGCCAGCCGAGGCGCAATCTAGGCCCTTCATTGTAAATTATCTGGGCCAGGGCAGTGGCATCATGGAGGGTCCATGCGTTGGGGGCGATCGAAACTAAAGATGGGTGGGCCAGATCCCCCATCCCCTCAGTGGACGGCCCGACTACACAACAGCACATTGGACCAGACAAGCCGCCTTTCCAGATTCGCACGGGGATCCAAAGCAAGAAGTGAGTCAGCAAACTGCGGAGCAAGTTCAGCGATGAAAGTTTCTCTTCGACCGGAGCACTGGATGGCTCTCGGAAGGTTGGGCACCCTTGCTCCGGCCACCCACGACGCAGGGCCGGCAGGAAAAACCCTGCTTCGCATCGGCGGATTCTACGGCACAGCGAGCCCATCGTCTCTCCATGCGCCCAGCCAAAGCGGCGTCTTTGGCAACTTCATGGCTCTTCAACACGGCGCGCCCCTCAGCCCGTCAACCTCGGCATTATCGGCGGGATCTCCGAGTCGGACGCTGGCGCTCGGCGCGCGGACGCTCGGGCGCTGCTCAGAAGGCGCGGCGCGACGGCTTTCAAAATGGCGGGATACCTCAGACATCGCGGAGCGGGCTGCGCCTTCTTTGCGGCGCAGGAGGCGCGCCAGACCAAGAGCCACGTCAAGACCGTCTTTCTGGCGAGTTGCGCCCCAATCCATGGCGCCACGCAGCGCCACGTCTGATCGTTCCGAGCAAGGGGGGGCGGGCGCGGCAACGGCCCCCCCCCTTCTTTCAGACGATGACGCTGCGAGGTCGGCGACGGAGACCACGCCGGTTAGGAGAAGGGCTGTCATAGCCACAGCGAAATCAGACCAGGTCGAGTTGCGACGCCACATCTTCTACAACTACGATGCGTCGGCCGAGAAACGTCGATGATCATTCGCGTTCTGCTGCAAGGTACTGACAGGGCAAGAGCAGGTTCAAAGTCTCGATTCCGGATCGCAGCGGGGGGCATGAACTCCGCCCTCTGCGGCAAGTTGAATGCCCTGCAACCGCAGCGGGGAAGCTCACTCAGCAAGCACGAGAACCCTGCCACGCAGCGGCGAAGTAGATGGAGTTTCTCGGCTCGCCGGCGGCACTCTCGGCGGGCGACCCGGCCCACCTCTGCAAAGACGTCGGCAAGTTATCGACGTTGGATCGGATTTCAAACGCCACCCTCGCGCGGACGTCGTCGTTGACTCGCGCGAGACGCCGCGCGGCGCGGGGGTCTCCGCCCACGCCGCGCCGCGGGCGCTGGGCCACGACAGAGAGTCGGGGGCGCGCGAGGACCTCGCCCCCCCGCGAGCGGCGTTTGAAAGGCCCGACTTCGCGACCACATTGGAACGTCTGGCTGGCAACGAGGCCCGCGAGCGCGCCCGCAAATCACCCCTCGAGAATACGCGGCCGACCGTCGAGAAGCCGATCGTCGAGGCTGCCCGCGCCATCGCCCGCGATCGAGGTCGACGACCTTCAATCGCATCTGGTCTCAGTCAGACAAGCAGCGAAGCTGGCGCGGAGAGGCGGCGTCACGTTGGCCGCTCGTAGCAAGGTCAGCGGGCGAGGCTAAGCAGGCGCTCCTACCACGGGGCGCTCATCCCGACGATCGCCCATGGCTTTGTCATTCGTGCCCCGAGGGAAATCCGCACGCCAAGGCTCCGCAACTCCGACGTCAAGCAAATCTCTGCCGCGTTCAATGCAGCGATTTGCAAGTTCGCCAAGGAAGCCGCCCCCCCACCGGCAACGCCCTCGAGCTAGGCACGCGCGAGGACGGTTGGATTCCGCCCAGAGGCCCAGCGCCTCTTATCGCGGCGGGGCCAGATCGCGGCCAAGCCCCCCCCTAGCCTGCGACGCACCCGGATTATTTTCAGGGGCGGGGTCTCGTGCTCCGAGACGCGCCGGCACTGCGGCTGACCAACCCTCGGCGCGCACGCGCGCCCGGCACCTCGCCGCTGTCAACACGGTTGCCAACAATAGATTTGAACCTGGTATCGACATGGCACCGATGGCCCCGAAGCGAGCGCGCATCCGCGGGACTAACGCTCATCTACTCAGCGCGTCCACTCCAGAGCTTGGGCGACGCACCCACCTCTTATTCTTCTCCCCTGGCGACGACGACCGCGCCTTGAAGCGCCAATGTCTTCCTGCACAAAGCGAGGGCCATCACCGCCCCGGGCAGCGTCGCGCAGCTGGCTTCGACCCCCGAGCAAGCTTCTCAGGGTTGAGATATACCAGCTGGCGAGGCTCTGCAGACAAGCGGGAGGCGCGCTTCGGCTCCACGAGAACGCTTTCCTGTTTACGACCGGGGTGGTCCCAAAGTACTTTCGGCAATGGCCTTTGCGCTCACTGCGCTGATCAAGTCAGCACTCATCATTCGCGGCAAGCAGCACGACTACCACGCCCGCTACTGGCTGTAGAATGAGAGGCCATCCTAGACCGCCCCCTCAGCGCGCTTCCAACCGTGCCTGAGCTCTCGCCGCGGGCTGCCCAACCGGTCGCACCCGCGCCACGCCTCATTTGCACCGCGGAGCTCTGCCACTCATTGCACGTTGCCACGCGGCCCGCAGCTCGCGCGGTCAAGGACCTCAAGACGAGCAACCGCGCGCGCAAGTTCCCCGAGAAGAGGGCCCGCACCACGCGCGCCCACGGGGCGACGGCATCGGCGGAAGCTGCGGGAGAGACCAAGCCGCACCACCCAGCTCCGCAAGGGATTCGCCTCCGCCGCCGACCCCCTCTCTATCATAATGGAATATGACAGAATCGCGTCGGCGCTTCTCGGCGTTGCCTCGGCGCGCCTGGGAACAGCGTGCGGGGGCGGAATGGAGACCTCAACGCACATTGACACGTCGGCGTTATCGAAGACGCCCACGGCGAATCACCGCCGCCCCCTGCCTGCGCGGAGGCGCCCATGTGGCCGAACGTCGAGGCCAGACCTGCCAAGCTATCGGACCACGCGTTGCCCGAATCGGTTTGGAAAGCCTTAGGGGAACACGCGGGCATCTTGAAGGTCGCCCTCGCCGCTTGGAGGCCATTTTGACCCTTTCGGGCCTTCTTGGAGGACGTTTCGGAGGGCTCGTGGGCCGTCTTGGAGGCCATCTTGAGCGTATTGGAGGCCTCTTCGGCCGTCTTGGGGGCCTCTTGGGGCCGTCTTGGGCGCCTC